TAGGGGTGCTGGGGCACCCGGTGCTCCCCGTGGAGCGGGGGTCCCTGCTCGATCCCAAGTGCAGAAGCCCCTCCGCTCGTAGCGGTCAGTTAAAGCCCTGCTCGTCTGACCCTCCCCGTTTCTTTTCTTGGAGCAGGACGCCCAGGAGCAGAGCTGGAGATGATCTCCCACATGGATCAGAAGGAGGAACTGTGGTTCTCCCACCTCCACGCCTATGAAGGGAAAAACATTTTGAGTGGTACCTGTGCAGGTAAGGGGCCAGCGCAATCATCTGTGAACCTGTCCGTGAGAAAAACTGCTCCAGGATCCCCACATCCAGCCAGAACGCACAAGAGTGGCGGTTCTGGGTTGGACCGTGGTCCTTCCAGCTTTGCCCTCCGTCTCTGACAACGGCCGGTACTGGAGACCCAGAAACGAGCGGACAAGCGGCGGTGTGGCCCTGTATGCTTTCCCAGGCCCAAGCAATCTGTGGTTTCAGAAACTCCTGAACTAGGCATGCAATGTCTCGATATCTTGCGGCTGTGTATTTTGTTGCCTTCTGAAGTTGTGTACGTTTCAGCATCCATGACAGCTTGCAGCAAGGAGTTCCACAGCTTATTGAGCTGTTTTATGAGTCACTGCCACCTTTGGTTTGCTTGGAAGCTGCCTTCTAGTAGTTCACTTGATGTCAGTAGTTCTTAATTTAGAACAGATGGTGCAGGGTGGAACCCTACCCACCCCACAGGCCACTTGTGTTTTTATAGTCCTCTGTGATAGCCCCTATCAGCTGTACCTTTTCCCAGCAGAATGGGCAGTTCTCTCCTATACAGAAGCTGTTCTGTGCCTTTGATCATTCATGTCGTGCCTCTGTATCTTCCTCAGATCTGTTAGGGTTTCTCTGAAATGGGGGATCCGTCCTCCCCCTTGCACACAGTCAGGATTTGGGGTTTGAGCAGCAAGGCAGAATTACATTCTCTTTTATTCTCTGTTTTTTTTCCCCACCAATCATTAACATTTGACTAGCTGTTTATCTGCCTAGGAGCTGCAGTTTTCATCCATCTGCTCTGACTCCAAGGTGCTATTCCTGAGTGACACCAACAACATCCTAGGCTCATCCTGGTATAAGTGCAAGGTATAGGGGCTGTTCCTCTCTGCAGTTCTTTATGTGTGCCTGCAGTGAATGTCCCCTGTCATTCCCCTGTCACCTGGTTGGTCAGTATCATAAGGTTCTGCCACAGTTTACAGTCAGCTTTTTTGTTTTTAACCCTGAACAACACAGAATCATCAGCAGACGTTTCTGTCTCCCCTTTCCCTCCCTTACTACCTTATGAGGGCCATTCACCCCACGCCAGCTTACTTACTGTATCAGTTTTGGTGAAGGACAAATGTCTTTTGGGAATGCCTTTGGACTCCAGATCTCCCTTTTGCTAAAATTGGTGACATCTCCAAGTGGTTTGTGAAGGGAGACCATCTCTTTCCAAAGTCCATGCCAGCTCTTCCCCAGCCTGCCCTCTTTGGCCATCTGTCCTTTAATTCTCTTACTCTGGTTTCTGTTTGCTTGCTTGGACTGTTGGGCCCCAGATCTCCCCTCGGGCCCTTCTCTGGCATCACATCAGCCACTTTACAGTCCCCTGGCAGTGAGGTAACACAGTCGGGAGTCCAGCAGTTGTGTGAGGTTGTGTGAAGAGCCCAGCTGGGTTAGACCAGAGAGGTCTGTGTATCTCCGAGCCCTGTCTCAGGGATTCAGGGGCTGGCTAGAAGTGGATGCCAGGGAACGGGATAAGATAAGCATACAATGACACCTCCTCAGTACAGTCTACCCTTGTCCAGCAGCCTGAGGCTTACTCATGATGGTGGTGTGTTATTTTTGATAGTTCCCATGGGTTTCTCTTCTGTGAACGCTTGAATTCGGTGCCCGAGATGATTGCTGTGTGCTCCCGCTGCTGTGAGACAGGCCAGAGCATCAGCCAAAACTCCTTCTACTGCTGGCTTCTCTTGAGAAAGAGAGATCCAAGGGTACATTTAAGGTGATATTTAGGTTCTCTCCCAAGATGTACACTTACTCTGCTTACCTGGAGCTTGCCTTGTAGCTGTAGCATTGACAATCTTGGGGATATCAGAGGTCTTACCATCAACCCAAATTGGTGTGGTCTGAGGAGGAACCATATTCTTCCTCTGTCTCTTGCTTATTCATTTTTGCTGGTTCAGCCTTATGCTTCCAGTATTAATTCCTCAGCATTGTGAACTTACTCTCCTTCCACTTAAAATACCTCCAGTGAGTTCCTGTCATCGTGATTTTGATCAAACCCTTTACAGACAACTTGTCCTGGATGCCAGTGAAGATACCTACTAGCTCAGAAGTAACAAAAATGGTCGTAGAACTTGAGAGATGGAGCCATGGCTGTAATCATTGTAATAAGAAGCTTGAAACTCCTGACCTTCCCTAAAAAGTACAGGACATCGTTGAAGACCTGATTCTTGTGTACTTTGACAGCCTTTTCAAGTTCTGTGTGAACCAAAATTCTGTTTAAATACCAAAGCTAGCATAGGTGAAGGATCTCTCTTTGGGCACAACGGCAACAGAACTTCACTAGCTCCATGGTCTACTCAGTAAGTCTGACATACAGGTCAAGAGCTTCATGCTGGCCTGCCAGAAATGTCCTCTTCTTATCCTGTCTTCAGATATCACCTTTCTCTTTTCCTCCACACCTGGATGGAGTAGCTGCAGACAAATGGAAATGCCTTCATGGTGAATAGCAAAGTTCCAGTTTCTGTTCCTCTCAAGGAATAATTGTAATGAAAATTATATGAAGGGAGAAGTGGCATCACTACCACACCAAATTGCCACAAAAGGTATCTCAGGAGTTAGCTGTGAAATCATGTTGTGATGCTTTCTTATACTGACTAGAAAGAGGAAGATTAAATATGTACGTATATCAGTCCGGGTTGAAGTTCTAGACTCTCCTTCCTTTATTGCATACTTACGGTTCAGTAGTGACTCTCCTCTTCCAAGGCATGCGCTTCCTTATCGCAAATCTGCCAGACCACAGGAAGTGCCTGTGGTTTGTACATCAATCCCACGCGACTGATATGTTACTGGTTTATTTCACAAGAGTTTTCAGGAAACCAGGAGGTAGCTGTTGAATCTTTAACTGGGCAAATCTGGAAGTCTGTGTGTCTGTGGCTTTAGTCCTCAGCCTGTTCCATATTTTGGGTCTACGTATAGTCAACAGCAAATCATCCTTCACCCCTGGAAGTCCATATAAAGAGATCATCTGGAAATCTATTTCCCTGATTGACCTATTTTAAACCTGTGTGATGCCTCTCTTCAGAGATGCATGTTGTCATTTCTGCATCCCATGTACATCCCTCTGACGTCCATTTACCCTTCCCTGACAGCAGAAGGGTGCGTGCCACACAGGTCCTGTCTTGCCAATTTAGTGTATAAGCCCTCAGTAAACCTGCAAAGAGCTACATTTCCCCGCTGATGGCAAAAGCCAGAGCGTTGTTGGGGGTACGTACTTTTGAACCTGCTAGGATGCTCATGAAACCACATTAGGGCAGTGGGCTAGAAGGAGTAATTACCCTAGAAATCTATGCAATTACCCTAGAAATCTCTGTGTAATTACCCTAGAAATCTAGGCAAGCCCCTTGTCTTGGAAAGGCTTTCAGCTGACCTTGAGCCTGTGCAGCATAGATTCATGCTTCTGCAAGACTTTATGTGAATAAGAGGGCAGGGATTTGTTCATTGCCTGTGTCCCAGGAGGCATTCGTAACTGTTCGGGTAGCGTTACTTCCTCTGACTTGCACTACCTTCATCTTCTACATTTGTCGGGTTTCCTCAGCGCATAATCTGGAATCAGCCGTGGAGGATCTTCAGTTCACCAACCGCCTTTCACAACGGATTTGTGCTGCACCAATGGAAGCATAAAGTTACCTTTCTTCTGCTCTAGGATTGGCATAAGCCAGGCTCCAGGTGGTCTCCGGGTCTCATGCCTTAGGGCCAGCATCTCCTTTGTGCATCTTTTCTCTCTCTGCAATACTAGCAGCACAAGAGCCGGGCAGTTGCATTTGTTGCAACCCAAGTAATGTTTTGCTGAGCAAGGCAGTTCTTTATGGCCCTCCTCTGACTCTCAGTTCAACTTTCAATAACATTTTCAGATATAATATTCTGGAAGAGCAGCCATCTTTCCCATTCGAGCACTGAACTTTTACCTCTAATATGCCAATAATTTCAGTAGATTCAGGTTCGGGCAAAGCACGCAGGACTATTTTCAGGGTTTATTCCTGTGAACACTCTGAAAAGCCCACTGTGTAGTTTGGATGGAAATACCAGAACTTTTTATACTTAAAGTCAATCTGCTGAATTTTTAGAATTTGGCCCCTTTTGATTTCCCCTGTCCAAAGTTCCCTGTCCTGCCTGTGACTTCTTTCTGGATTCTCATTTTATTGCAGCTGAAGATGGGATTGTGAGCAAGAAAGAAGAAAATGCCTACCAAGGCATCCCTGGGCCAGTGAGGCCCGAGGGTTTACTCTCAGGACTCTCCAAGGAGAATGGTTCTGAGAGTCCTGCACAGGACCCAGTCCTCCCACGCAGGTCAGAAAGGGTTCAGAGACCTCTGAGGAAGAGGCAAAGCCGAGTGACGCTGCATGGAAAAAGTTTCAGGAGGCTGCCAGATATTATCCAGCAGAGAAATCCTTCTGTGGGGAGACTGACGATATGTGGGGACTGCGGGAAGAGCTTTCGGGTGACCTCCAACCTCATCCAGCATCGGAGAATCCACACTGGAGAGAAACCCTTTGCCTGCACCGAGTGCGGGGAGAGTTTCCGGCAGCGGTCGCATCTCATCCAGCACCAGAGAATCCACACAGGGGAGAGGCCCTACGAGTGCTCCGAGTGCGGAAAGAGCTTCAGCATGAGCTCAAAGCTGATCCGGCACCAGGTAACCCACACCGGGGAGAAGCCCTACAAGTGTGCCGAGTGCGGGAAGAGCTTCTCCGGGAACTCACAGCTCATCCAGCACCAGCGAGTGCACACTGGGGAGAAACCCTATGAGTGCAGCGACTGCGGGAAGAGCTTCAGCGTGAGCTCAGCCCTGACGCGACACCAGCGGGTCCACACCGGAGAGAAACCTTACGAGTGCTCTGAGTGTGGGAAGAGCTTCAGCCAGAGCTCCGAGCTCATGAAGCACCAGCGAGTTCACACCGGGGAGAAGCCATACAAGTGCTCCGAATGCGGGAAGAGCTTCACCGTGAGTTCAGCCCTCATCCAACACCGGCGGTTTCACATGGGCGAGCGCCCCTACGGGTGCACCGAGTGTGGAAAGAGCTTCACCGTGAGCTCCCACCTCATCCAGCACCGCCGTTTCCACACCGCGGAACGCCCCTTTGAGTGCACTGAGTGCGGGAAGAGCTTCCTGTGGAGATCAGCCCTGCTCCGGCACCACCGCGTCCACACAGGGGAGAGGCCCTATGCCTGCGCCGACTGCGGGGACAGCTTTCGGCAGAGCGCCCACCTCATCCAGCACCGTCGCATCCACACAGGGGAGCGTCCCTACGCCTGTGCCGACTGCGGGAAGGGCTTCACCGTGAGCTCTGCGCTCCTCCGGCACCAGCAGATTCACAGGGGTGGGGAGCCCTAGGAGGGGTGGGCGTGGGGAGCAGTTAGGTCTGATACCCTGTGAGCATCCCTGTGGAGCAAAGCCCAATGTCTCTCTCCCTTTGCTCTGTTGACCGCCCCGCTTGTGGAGGGTGAAAGCCATTTCTTTTTAGGAGAACAAGTCCTAAAAGAGAGAGATGGAAGAAGGGGAGAGTCGGCGCAAGGAGCTGAATTGGAGGTTTGGGTAAGAGTGCGTGAGAGCGCAGGGGAAAGCGGTGGTGTTTGGAGGGGTAGCTCCTGGGAGAGGGAGAGAAAGACAGTAGTTTGAAAAGGCTGGAACGTACTCGGTGGTGTATTTGAGAGGAAGGTAAACACCTTGCCTTTGCGCGCGCACGTTTCAGACAATTTACAGGGCGAACCAAACGGACCACCTTAGG